ATATATATATATACACATATATATATTTAAACGTATTATATATATGTATATTATATTATATGTGTATTATATTATATATATTATATTTATATTATATTAAAGCTAGATATCTTTAAAACATATATCTTATGTTCTGATTTTCGACTTTGTGTTACCGAGAGGGTAACATTCAAATAATGTTAGGTAACAATATAAGGTTTCGTTTTTCTATATATATATTTAATGAATGTGAATATTTTGTTACGAGTGCGATTGCGAGTTGTCAATTTTTTCGCATGCGAATTCGTGATAAAAAAATCTAACTGCACGTTGCATTTTGTGATACGAGAAAAAAAAAAGAATCGCCACGGCTAGAGATACGGCTACCGCAAGATTGCACATCTCTCTAGCCAGATAGATACAGGTGCCCGCGCTGATGCGCGCTCGCGCGAGCGCGCGTCACGCCGTTGGCACCGTCGCGTGTTTACACGAGGAAGTGCGTCGCGCTTCGAAAGCGATAAACAAAGTTCGGCAAACTGGCAGTATAACAGAGAGCGATGGCGCGCTCGCGCCCCTCGGGTCGCCCTCCGGACCCTCCGGTGGCTCCCATTGTCTAATATAACAGGGGGGGGGGGATTATGTAACGGTGACGCGATCTCTCCCCGGCCGGTGCTCTCTCCTTGCGGCGCCGAGGCGCGTTTTGCGAATTCGACGCAGTTCGGGGTCACATTCGTCCCTACCTCCTCCGCGGCAGAGACGCTTCGTTTCTATAATAAAAGCCGGGCGCGCCGAATTCCGAGGCTCGATCGAGGAACGAACGCGAGGACGCGAACGCGAATAATTTCTTCCTCCGCGAGCAGATCGCATAGCAATTCTGTCTCGCCGCGTGGGCGAGTCCGCGCGCGGAAATCGTTGAACTCGGAGGAAAAACTGCACCCGGGAAACGAACCCGGGTGGACGGATATATAGAGCGATCATCCGCGGCCTCGAGGCCGGTTTGGGGAAACGAGCGTATAATTTGCAACCGGCGGAGCGCGTCTCACGTGCGCGCGCGGTCTCTCGGCTTTCTTCCGCGAGCGAAACTCCGGGCGGATTTTCCGGAGCGGCCGCGGCGGCGTCGCGACGAATGGAGTCAACCTGCTGCAGCTCGACGGAGATTGGCAAATAACGCGTGACAGCGGTGGAGAAAGGACCGAGACGAGGGAGGAGAGAAGAAATGAGAAACGAGAGACGATTGTTGAATCGCTGATACCTCCCCCCCTTCTCCTCCTCCTTCGCGAGATTATGTAACAACGCACGCTGCTCGCGATTAAATTGGCGCGATGCCGATTCCCCGCCTTACCGGCAACAAGTCGCCGCGATCGCAACGAACGGCGTAACGCGTGTAGATGGACGCGCGAAATACGTATAGATATATATATAATAGATATATGTACGTGTATATATATATATATAT